CTACCACCGCCTCCACGACAACCGCCACAACCAACATCACCACCACCCAAACACTACGACAACCAGCCAGTAGTAATACCGTCAAGCCCTCTAGTACCAGCCACGACGACCAACCAAGTCCTCTAGTACCAGGCTACCAGCATATAGGAACAAAACCACGTTACAAAAACAGATGCAGGAACAACTTACAAACTGATTTTAAGATCCATTAGTTGGCAGTGGAGATTCCTCGATTTCAATGTCTTTAACCCCATCAGTTAAAGATGATGAATTGCACCTTCTGTCTTCGGCCCAGTCCTCAAGCTCGTCTTCAATGAGCGAGCCCTTTCTACGAAGTTCTTTAACCTGATGGAATGAATCTTTTGTTCAAAAACCTCCACCCCCGTCGCCACTACCTCCACCCCCGTTGCCACTACCTCCACCACCGATAGAACCTCCACCCCCGTCGTCACTACCTAGATCCACTGCACCAGATTCACGACCACACCATATCGCACTTGACTGGAGTCGATGTCACAGTAGCCCTCGTCGTAGTGAGCAGAGAGAAGGATTTCATGAATCGCCCGATCTGTGTACTGGCGAAACCATAGATATGGACATAGAGGTGCCGGGGTTTGTTAGATTTGGTGGTGGCGTTGCCGGCGCTGGCCTTCTTTCCGATGGGCGATTTCGAAGAGAGAGAGAGAAGAGTGAGAGAGATTGGGTGAGTAGTGAGAGAAAATGAATTAGGGTTTATTTGAAATATTAGTATTATAATATTATTTAAATTGACAAAATATCCAATTAATAACTGATTTTTGATTAAATAAATTTCCTACCTGAATTTTGAATTTAGAAGTTTAAGTACCTGGTTTTATGTAATTTTCCCATGTTGCAATTGACCCCAAAGCCCTAAATTATGGGCCCATCATTCAAGCAACTTAACCAGGACAAGGCACAAAAACTCCACATCTAAGTGCTTGTTTGAACGAAATTATAATGAAAATAGTAGATCTTGGAAACATTGTGATTGAAATTAACGTTCGAATTTAACATAAAATTACTATCTTACCCAAACAAGCACTAAAAGTGACATGGCTACAAGTTTCAAATCAAGAGGTGAGCGGGAGTGGGCCGAGTAGCCATGATATGCACTTTACCCGTTAATGTATTTTTATGTTGAATGCTTTATGTTATTTTTAGTATTCAATTGCCATTAAAAAAATTTCTCAATTTGGAATATTGAGATAATTGTATAATGTCTCATTATAAACGCATTTATTTTCTTCTAAGAAAATTTGCTAAGATCATATTCAAGAAACCCTATAAAAATGTAGGATACCCTCTATTTTAAAAAGCAATTCTTGAAATCAAAGCGATGAGGGACATATGCTGCTCGGCTAGGTGTCAAATAGGCTAGACAATCCACCCTGTATTCGGCTTGACCTTGGCCTTTTCTAGAGACTATATTTTACAAATTTTTTTCCTGAGTTGATAAAATCAAGGAAGGATATGAAATTGAAGCTGAAATTTAAAGGAACGAAACTAACAAAGAAATAAAGGGATAGACTTGCTGGAATGGCAGGAAAGAAGATGAACACTCCATTCAATCAACTTAGAGAAATTACAATACAAACTATTCTATTTATAGAGAAAGTAGCTAACAAATTAACAACATAACAAACTAAAGAAGGAACTAGAAGATGGTAGAATCTGGAAGCTAGAAGAAGGAGCTGAATGTGCATCTTACTGGTTGAACTGGAGAGATGGGCTGGAGAATATTCCAACACTCCCCCTCAAGATGGAACATCTTGAACTGCAGAGAGGAGCAGAGATGCAATCAAGGAAGTTCCTTATTTTGAATCAGTTTCAATTTTCTTCAATTCCATTTGTGGTCTATGGTTAAAGTAAAGGTGTCAAGACGGACGAGCCGACCATACCAGTGAAAATCGGCCCGGATCGACCCGGGACCGCGAGCCGACCCTTGACCCGAGCGGGCGGCTCACAAGTCAAGGATGTGTAACCCGCAAGCTTCGAGGTTAGCACCTTCACGAGCCGCGATTAACCCGCTGGCCCGTAAATTATTATTATTATTATTTTAAATTTGAAAAAAAGGGGGGGATGTGCCAACTTAGTTGGGATGTACTTATGCTATAAATATTTAATAATAGTAATTAGAAATGCATTTAATTATTATTTGTTTAAATTAAATTTAACTTTGTAAAGTTATAAATAATTCATGTAACATCAAATTTGAATTCAATGTAAACAGTTCTTGGTATAAATATGAATTTATCATTTTCTTCAATTCTTAGTTTACATTTAACAAAAAAAAAAAAAAAAATTGATATCAATATAAAAACTTCTTGGAACAACCCGTGNAAAAATTTCTTGATATAATTATGAATTTATCATTTTGTTCAATTCTTAGTTTACATTTAAAAAAAAAAAAATATTTTTTGCTATAAATATGAAAAATTCTATATTTTTATAATTTTATTTATACAATTATACGGGCCAAATTGGAACAAACCGCTACCCTTGCCCCGCATGGGCTCGACCCCGAATGGGTCAGCGGGTGGGCCTCGATTGTAATCCAAAATTTGTGGGCCAACCAGGAACAGGCCCGGAACCCGTAGTGGGCGGGCTTTTTTTTCATGCGGGCCGTTACCGTGCTCATATGTTGGCGGGCCGGTCGAGCCCGGACCCCCCGGATTGACACCTCTAGGTTAAAGCTCCAACGGGTATTCTCAAATCATTTGGTAACCTACTGGATTGTGAGGTCTAATTCCTTTGCCAAATTCTCTTTCACAACTCGTTCAGGGTATTGATTTTGTCTGAAAGATTCAAGTAGTTTAGGTGCTGATCTTTTAACATTTGCACCCACAGAACTTGTTTCAGCAGGTGCATTGATTGTGTCCTTATCAATTACATTATTGTTAGTTCTTTTAGACCCATGCTCACTCTCTATCGGGTTTTCATCATTGGCATCCATTTCATTTTGAGCTAATGGAGTTTTGTCAGGAGACACCTTGTATGCTTTTTCAAGGTTAATCTTCCTTCTCTTTTGAGATGGTATATCTTCAAAATCTTCATCACTTGATTCAGAAGAAGAATTTCCATATGTTTCATCATTCATTTTTTTTTAATAGTCCAACCATTCTCTCACCCGTGCATTCACTCTTGGAAACAGGCTGGTAGAACATTTTTGAAGACATACATGACTTCAAGTTACCACAAAGACTCCCTATTTGGAGAATATTTCAATCATTTTGTGAAGATTTGAGAAGCCTGCCATTTTCTGTGCAGGAGTTCGTAAAAAAAAAATTCTGGTGAAGAGGAAGAACATCTCTTCGCAGCTCTTGATAACTGCTACATTTGGAACCTTCACAAAGGTTCAATTAGGTGGACTGCTTTGTCCTTTGATCGAGAATCTGACTAGGAATTTTCAGTCATTGATGGAGATGAATTTTCAGTAAAATTAGGTAGACTTCCCCAAAATTACAGACAGTTCGTCTGGGAAATCAATTCAGAACTGAATAGCAGATAATCTTTCTGGTAATAGACCTGCTACCCTCAATCCTCAAAATAAGAAGAAATCAGTTCTGACATTTCGTCGAGCATCTAGTGAGCCAAGCTACTATCCTATTTTGTTTAACAAATTGAAGTCTCCTCTAAACCTTAACTCATTACTTCGCTGGAGAATTTTTGAAAACTTTGCAGCCAGATTTCTAATCCACATTTTAAGGATCTGTAAACTTCTCAGCATGCTATTCAAGACAATGTATCCCATCTATGAATTTAGAGAGATATAGGGAGAATTATGGAGATACTAGTGGTGCAGTAGTTAGAGACAGTGGCTCAGTTTGGTGTAGTTTTCCTTCCCTTTTTTTGATAGATTTAATTGAGAAAAGATAGAGAAGAAGATGAATTGCAGACGGAAGAATCAGAAACCTGCTCTGATACCATGACAAAATCAAGGAAGGATATGAAATTGAAGCTGAAATTTAAAGGAATGAAACTAACAGAGAAACAAAGGGATAGACCTGCTGGAATGGCAGGGAAGAAGATGAACACTTTATTCAATCAACTTAGAGAAATTACAATGCAAACTATTCTATTTATAGAGAAAGTAGCTAACAAACTAACAACATAACAAACTAAAGAAGGAACTAGAAGAAGTTAGAATCTGGAAGCTAGAAGAAAGAGCTGAACGTGCAACTTGCTAATTGAACTGGAGAGAAGTTGTTGAACTGGAGAGATGGGCTGGAGACTATTCCAACGTGAGTTAGTCTTAACAAAAGAAAGGCAAAATGGAAATACTATACCAATGAAATGATATTTGGGAAATAGCAGGGTGAATACATGAATAAATAAGAATATCAAGATTGATATTAAGTGTTTCTTATGAGATCAATAAAGTGAGAGGTTAAGTTTAAAAGAAAGGTTACAAAATACTCTCAGATGTCCAACTCAACATAATTTCCCCCCCAGCAAAAGTCTAAATAAAGTAAGTTTGGTCGACTGACATCTAATGAAACACCAAATTTATGACAATCCTCCTCTCGATTGAGGGGTAAGGATAGCAAAAATACAGTCTCGTACAAGTAATGGACTTCGTTTCACATCAAATCTCCACAACCCCTTATATGCGATATTTATTTATGAGTACCTAAATCCAGCAATGATACTATATTCTTTATACTGTTATCACTGTTTAGACCTTACGAACTTTGAACTCTATGTTTTACTCGTAAGAATTTTGTGATTACTGTATGGTATCTCTGTAGGAAAATACCTTACATGGTTGCTATGAAGTACAAGCATGAAGCCTGTGCAGCTTTGTTAAATCCATCGGCTACAGAGCCTTTAACTTGGCCATCACCATGCCTAAAGTTCATCAATGAGCTGAGTTCTGAAGTGAAAGCCTTATTAGAGAAAGTCCTAATTATGGCCAACAAGGAGAGAGAGAAGACAATCTTGAAGGAGACATCCAACTCTCTTCTGAAACCCTTAAATTTTGGTGGCATTGACAATGACATTAAGGTATGCTACTCATTTTCAAGTGTTGATTCATACTTTGATTGGAAGAGGAAGCTTGTGAGGGATAGCTTACGACACAGATTTAAGCTAGAAGTTTGCTCACAGTCGAAACAAAGAAGAATCTCTTTTATTTTGTAGCGTGAAAATTCTCCAAGTTAGAGACATGAGGTGTTCAGTAATATACTCAACTAGTCAACTACATGAAAGAGGAAGAGATTTAATTGTTCACCGTTGCAGATTCTGTTGGGAATTTACTTAATCATGCATAGTGGAAATAAAATAATTTTCAATTCCCACCAAGGACTTGCAATTTGTTTAGATAGAAACTGTGATAAGAATTATACATTTGATGAATTCTGCAAACTCCTTTGCTGATTCTCAAACTCCAATTATCACGATCTGCAATCCAAGCTGTCGAATTGTCCAGTGTCCAATGATGATCCACACAGAGAACAAGAATGACAGCTAGAGTGTCTTTTCTTGTGCTAACAAGACTAATGAAAATTCTCTATATTTTACAAACCCTAGCAGCTAGGGCTGTTTGTGGGTCGGTTCGGTTCGGTTCTGAAGAGACCCAAACCGATCCAAAACTTTCGGATATTTAATAAATGGACCCATCGGGTCCAAATATAATTATGGAACTGTTCGGGTTCGGTTCCGTTCGGGTCAGTTCGGTTCCGTACCATAATTAAATTTTTTAATATTTTCAGCAACACTACATAAAAAAATATTTCATTCGTAACTTTTACAA